TCTCTCTCTCTCTCTCTCTCTCTCTCTCTCTCTCTCTCTCTCTCTCTCTCTCTCTCTCTCTTTCTTTCTCTCTCTCTCTCTCTCTCTCTCTCTCTGTGTGTGCGGAAGATTCCTTCAGTTTGCATATTGGCGGGCTGCACTGTTGGTGCACATGAAAAAAATGAAAAAAAGGTGTGGCGGTGCATATTTCCATGTTCTGGCTGATGATTCATTCCGATTTTGCTCATCCTACACACACACTGACAGTCATGCTTTTTTAGAGTATAAAGCGAATATGACCCAGGTAAAGTATGTACGTACGCAATTTTTTTTTTTTTGCTCCTCCTTACCTGGAAAATACGGGATGTCCGGACAGGCATCTGGAAAGGGGATCCGGACCGGTTGGGATTCCGGAAGTCTGGAAGGTCCCGGGAGGTCCGGGTTTCGGGGTCCGGATTCAGTTCGGGGTCCGGTCGGCATAGCTATGCTTGTCATTTTCTCTTCCTTCCTGACCTGCTTTGTTCGAGGTTACTCACAGTGCGACCTTCTAGGCTGAATCTATGCATTGATTGAAGTAGAAGTGTATGCACATCGATGGGTTGTTGGTTCTCGTGATGCAAAGCTATGTTCTGTTCTCCCAGTTTGTCATCTTTGCTGCAAAGCTATTCTGATCGTTTGGATGATATTGAAGGATTGAAGGGACAGAAAGCTGTTTTGCTCGTGTGATATTTTTACATAGGTTTCGTGGAAGACCGCTGATGTATTCTTCATTGGTTCTGCCACATGGTGCAGGTATCTGATATCGGTTCAACTCTGATATCACCTACGGAAGTCCTGCTAGTCGAACTGAGACAAATAGAGGTGGGTTGGGAACTGCTTGTATATATCCTGGAGAACATGACTTCGGATGAGTCTGGGTCAACTTGTTCTAAAGAGAAGAGCATCCCTGGGTTATACTTCCGCTCTTCATAAGTCATGAGTCTTAACGCGAAGCCACAACAGTGTTACATTCTTGCTTAGGAAGGAACCTGGCCATTATGAAGGCCTCTTACATGCTTCCGAAGCATGACCATAGCACTTGTGCAACCTGGTCCTTTGCTCGAAAGCTGCTGGCTTAAATGAAGTATTGGTTTGTTATGCTCTTTGCAAGAACGCACACTTTTAGGTTGACGGAATGTTGTAGACAGTAGTTGAGATGATAGCGATGTGGAGCACTGTGAAATGGAAACCTTCTTCGTGTGTACTCAGTGTGATGAGGCTTATTGCACCTCTTGGCAACTGTTCTAGGTCCTTAAGCTGATCAGTAGACTGGAGGGCTCTTTGGCTGCACTCTAGACCAATTTTATTTGGCCAAATCACAAAAGATTTGGCCTCAGGCAAAACTCTTGTATTGCCTCTGGCACAATCCGTTTTTAGTGCACGTGCTCTTCCAAAATTTGCATATTCCAACTGCGTGCAACTTCCTCCGCTGGACAACGTTGTCTGGAATGGCCAAGCCGGCGCTACGCGTCAAAGGTGCCCATGAGCTGAAGAAACAAAAGCTCTCGATTGGAGCCCTACACCTGAGTATGCGAGTGTTGAATCTTGCAAAAAGCTTTCATGATGCAAGGAATGGAATGAGCCTCGCGGAGCCCTTATTAGATATACAAGTGTTCTGGGCTGTAGGCCCCAGCAAGCCTTGTGCCCGCCCTAAGTGAAGGCGGGCCTGAATATCCAGATGAGGCCTGTTCTCCACAACTGTTTTTATGTGGGTACTCAAGACAGTTGCAGCACGCCAGTTGGTTACAGAGCAACCTGAGCCTCCAGGCTCTTTGCAGAAGCAAACGGCTGCGGGGCACAGCAGCCATAGCCAGGTTGCAGGGGCACTCCGGGGCAGCGGGCGCACAGCAGCCATAGCTGGGCTGCACTGGCACAATGTGGGTGATGGTGGTGGTGGTCTTTGGGTAGGAGGTGCATGAGGTGATCAAGGGGCGATGAGGGGAGGAGAGAGAACGTACCTGGCGCACAGCAGCCATAGCTGGGCTGCACTGGCGCAATGTGGGTGATGGCGGTGGTGGTCTTTGGGTAGGAGGCGCATGAGGTGATCAAGTGGCGATGAGGGGAGGAGAGAGAACGTACCTGGTGTACGATGGTGATCGGCATTGGTCTTGACATCACGTACATGGTCTTCGACTTCGTTGTGATCCAGTCGTTTGAACATAGATAGGCTATATAGGCCGAGTATAGTAGGCTGGGCGCTGAGCGCCAGACAGTAGGAGCGACATTGGACACAGTGTTGATGTGACCAGGAGTGTCGACATTGGCATTTGAGTTCTGTGTATTGCTCTTGTATGAATGGAATCTTGGTGCATTGTGCTTTCAGCTTGGTACATGACTACCTGGACTACTTCATAGTTTTGCAACTTGGGTTTATGTCTATCGCACTCATTCATATTCCTCACAATGATACAAAGTGAGGGGAAATTTGTGCGGAGGAGATTGTGAGCTGTTTCATATGCACAAGTTGCTGAAGGTGGTGGGGGAAAGGAGGGTAAATGCCAATGCATATTGCAAGAAAACTTCACAGTAACGGGAGGAAGGAGAATTGCAGATTGATGCTTGTTGAGAAATGCAAGGGAAGTGCCGAGGGTTTAGCGTTGATCCTTATATTTGTGGATGGAGGGAGGCGAAATGTGAACGGGGTTCACAAGGTGCTTCATGTGTGTGTCGGAACCAGTGGGCACGAAGGTGGTTGCAAGAAGGTTGTGTGGAGAGTGGTGGAGGAAAGGGGTTTGTCAAGGGAGATGGCAAGACGCTTCATGCACTCAGGGAGAGGCAGGTGAAGTGCTGAGGGGGATCACAGTACACTGCGTAGTTTTGTGGAGTGTGGGGGAAAAGGTGAATCATATGGGTAGTAAGAGGGAGTTTAGAGGGGAATTCTGAGAGCTGGCTGGTGTCTGACCTGTCAGTGCCGACATGCCTACAGTAGGAGCTGTTGCCAATATGGAACGGTGGGGAGAGAGAGAGAGAGAGAGAGAGAGAGAGAGAGAGAGAGAGAGAGAGAGAGAGAGAGAGAGAGAGAGAGAGAGAG